AAGATTTTCCAACACTTATTTCGACGGGGTACCGTGAAATTAATTAACAGATACACACGTCTCGTCAATTTTCGATCTTAAATGATAGTTGTAGTTATCAAGTCTTTGCGTGCACGTTAGAACTTTTCTTTTTTTAAAGAAAATAAAGAAATAAAGAAGATTATCAACTTTTTCTTACGTTAAATGGAAAATGAAAGTAAGCTTACAGGTGAGTAAGAAGCAAGCATACTGCGTTGAAATTATATGCGTAAGCTTAGGAAAATTTCGTTATATGATACCAGTGAACGTAATTGTTTTCTTTATAATAGATCGACGTTCGCCTAATTTCAATTATCGGCAGTTATTGTGTTAATAAGTCAACATCACCGCTACACAAAATTGCAATGATAGTAACTGAAAGGTGACGCATGGTTTGAAAGCCGACTTTGATAGATGATTATGGTTGCCATCGGCTTGTCTTTCCTCCATATTGTTTCGGATATCAAACGTCTGTAACTTCAGGGCTTTTCGAATGCTAGAGAAGCCAGGCGTCTATATATTCCAAAAGCCATACACACACACACGTTGTGAGGTTTCATGGAAGTTACAGGAAATTCTGGCTACAGACAAACTTCGCAACGGCCGATACGGACACAGCATCAGCAGGCGATATTGGTCTTGCTTCCTCTCCCCCTTGAGCCGTCCCTTAGGCAAAATCACAAGTAATATAACTTGCTCTTTAATTTCGTTTTTCTTCTATGGGTGGTTCTACATTGCATCCATGCTTATACGTAAATTTCACGCCAGTTTAGTAGTAGTCATAAGTCCATTGTATAATTTCGTACTTTTCACAAACATAAATGGAAGCATCGGTTCGTCCGAATACATAGACTACTAGCGAGCTATTCTACATACCTATGTAAAATTGCCTTTCGGTAGTCATAATAAACAAATAACAATGAAATGTATATGCTTTTTAGCGAAGATAAAGGATCTCGACACAAGCCAATGAGAAGTAGAGTTGATGATGATCAACATAAGTAATCGACGCGTAGGACAGGTTAAAATGTGTGTCTACGATGATTTACAGACAAGCAAAATAGGCTCAATACGCTTACTGTTAAATTGTTTGTAAAACTTTGTTTATACAATAGCAAGCTTTAAATAAAAAAAAATGCATAAAATAGAACCTTTGGAAAAGATTTACCTACAAGCCTTCTTGCCATTACAATAAGTGAATTTTCTACGTAAAGGTCCTTCTCCTAAAGGAAATTAAATGTAGATAAACTGAAATGAACTTCGTAAGTAATTTTCAAAAAGAAGAGTCTACGATTTTTCTGATATTAGCTCGACGATATTAACGACTGTAAGGCGTTTAAGATCCTTTATAACTTTCGGCGTATATTGTTTAATTGAGATAGGTCACCGTAAATGTTGAAAATATCAACTTCGCTGGTGTTAGTAAAGTATATGAACATCTTTTGAATAAAAATATTTTTTTACCATGTTCAGAAGAGCATTCGATGGGGTTGTGCACAGAAAGTCAAGTAATGCATAACAACCTACGAAAAATATCTACATAAATTATGCAGGAGATGGTATATCGACGGACCTAGTTGTCAAGTAGTTGGAAAACGCTTCTTGAACAAAAACTTACTCTAAATAAAAAGGGGGCGCAAAGCATTTCGAGCATCTCAATAAACGCCTTAACTGAACTGCATCGGGAACACGTTTTTGAAATGTTCGAAATTTAGATTATAGGAAACAACTGAAATTATGTGCGTGTGACCAGCTCAGCCCCATTAAAAAATTAGCTCTTGCATTTTTTAGGAAGAGCTATCAAAATGGCTTCTGTGTGCTATTGCATGCGCCTAGTATTTTTATTTGTGGGAAAAACTTGGAGTGCCGTTAACATGTTCCGTAAAAGATGCACTAAATCTACATTCTGGATTAAAACAAAGGGTAAATAATTAAATTTGACAGTGTAATTTATGTCATTCGTTATAATCTTTTTGCGTTTCATCGTGGTAAACTCTGGCATAACTTGTTATTATCGTAACATACGTATCGTTTCACTTCGCCTAACCAGGCATTATTAACTATAAAAATTGATCTATGGAAGCCAACAAGGCAGTTACATCAGTAAGTTGAAAGAAGTCCGAAGAACTCGTTATGAGTCCTACAGGCACTTTTTCATTGTCTCGACCCAAAAATTAAGTAATTTGTGTAGCAAAGATAGCTATTCTATTTTCAGGTTGATTGTATCATTTCAAGTTTTTTCCGTCTATGTGTTTTTCTATTTCTAGCTCTCATGCAACTGCGTACTAGAATCTTATCTTATCAATTAGATCTTCTACCAAAGAGAAGGAAAATGAAAAAACCTAACTTTTTTGATATTTTGGTAAACGACTATTATTAGGAGAAATCGCGCATATCTTTCGGAAGATCGTAAGAGATTGATTAGAATTGTCTGATTTGTCTAAGATCCAAAGGCGATTCGAAGGAGTCTTCTCAACAGCATGTAAGCTGTTTATTAGCGTGACTAATCCTATTATCGATGGCTGAACGGCAGATTACAGTACCGCACCTATAGCGATATAGGAACAATTAATGTGATACAAATTAAATGCTGAGATTTAAGCCGTTGTTTATTTTTCTCGTTTCAGGCCATGACTGAAGTGTGATGATCGTGTCGTATGCCGTCGAATGCCGCGCCGCACTACTACGAAGTATTTCAGAAAGTTATAGTTTCTGGCAGAATTTAGCGTTATCTCCCGTAACAACAAATGAGCATTTATCCTTTTTATACCCAATGCAAGTATCATCTTATGTTGACTTTATTCAGCACAGCCGGATCTGTTCTGGTGAGTGGCTCACACTGATTTGCACAATGTCTATGGCGACGGTTTATTCCAATCGTATATTTAGTCGCTAATGGTTGTGCAAATTATCTCCAGGGCGCGTTATGATTGTCCTTCCATCTGTCCTGAACTGTCAGCTCGTGAGAAATGCATAGCATCAATTCTGAGAGATTCCTAATTGAGTAAACGGAGTACCGTGTTTCGGTCAACAATGTGGCCATAGCAGTTCGTTGTTTTAAGCCATAGTCATAATTGATAGTCACCGAATTTGCCGTTTTCAACTTCCTAATTTCTAGAAATTGTAGTTTCATTGAAAGCTGTTTTGTTCATATTCAATCCTTCAAGAATTCAGCTAGTACCCTTACCGTCAAACACAAGGTTCATCTAATCATTTAGTGCTAAATTGCCTCTAAACTTATTGTTTTCTGGTAACAATCGATCAGCTAATAATCACGGATAGCCCAAGGTTTGATGTGAGAGTTTCGTAAATTTTGTCTACTAATGCTAATGCTTTCTAAGAGTTACTCAAATTTTTCCACCACTTAATTGCTTCTGAACAACTCAAAAAAGAGATCGAAAAATTAGACTACTACTGGGTTAGTCAATAAAAAAGCTACCGATACTAACCATTTTTACACATGCTATTTATAGTAATTTTCAGGTGTAGTACTACTAGTCTAGCCAGTACGATTCATATCATTGTGCATGTCACAATGAGACCAACCACTGCTGAGCCTGATACTCCTCAACGACATGCACTAGGCCTTCTCAAAAGGGGTTCAATTGAAGCGAACATTTTTTTCTACTTAGTCTGAAGATCTTCGCAGTCGCATTTTTCAGCACTGTACAATACTCAACCAACGAGGCCATATCATTGGCCACCAATGTTCGGAAATGTACAAATAGATCTACAATGCCTCTGCTTCTACTTGATGATAAGCTGTGCAAAACGTGTCGTTCATTGTCGTAGCCGCTGCACGAACTACTTACCGTGCCTTGTTGTTGTTACGGTCACGATTGTCGTCATTACCATACAAGCTTTATTACCATACAAGCATTATTTTACTATGGGTAAGAGTCAGTACCCTTTGCACAGAGTTACGGTCGCCGCCGCTACCGTATCAAAGAAAATAAGTAATCAATGACATTTTCCATACGAGAAATTCATTTACGCCTTGGTATGAATAAGTTTTACGACAACATTAAACTGATGCAGTATACAGGGCGCACCACCGACTCAACCATTCTACCCGGCAAAAATAATAACAACTGCTAGCTTGCGACCTGTGGTTATATCTCAACACTGAAAGATAGAATTGCCAGTCCGCTTTAAGAACCAGAGCACACATAATAAAATAATAACATTTGCCTTGCAGTAATATTCGACCGTGTTATTATTATATCATACCATCTGTACCAGGCGCATACTGGAATTGTGTCAGTAGCAGCTTAGTAAGAGGATGATAACTACCACCTCGCAAATCGCCCCTGTGATAGTTCCAGCAAGCTTCAACTAACATACATCTCAGCAGTATAGTCCCCCTGCAGTACATTTTGGTGGAGTGCTTCAGGTAGTCTTAGGTTATTACGCATCATTCTGGCCTAAATAACGAGCTTTATTGTATATTTAGTCGTTATGTTTAGTAGTATAATTAGATATATAGACCGTACGCCCGGAGACGATGGATTTTCGTTAAAACACGCAATCCAAAAACTGAATGCTCACGCAGGACTTCACGCTCATTGTGTAAAAATAAAAATAAATAAATAAAAAACAATACCTAGTAAATCAGTTTTTTATCTATTAAACGAATATTCATTTGTGTTACATCGTAGCGAATGTAAAAAATAGGCACCTTATTAAGTAATTGAAAGTCAGGACAGGCTGCATTATATTTTTTTTAGACAAATAATAATACTAATAATAACTGTTATTATCATCATCATTGCAAATATAGTTAGATTAAACTGCTTTAAATATGAGACGATATAATCCAACAATCAACAAGTCATTTATTCTTACGATTCATCATTGCCTACAGTGTTGCTTGGAGGGGCCGCAAGAGGGCGCTACAAGTTAAGCGATAAGACCGCGTACTGCCCTGGGTAGAGTATTAAAAGTGGAGGTAACTGAAGAAATCGGCAGTCCGGTTGGGGCGTCGTACGGACCGAGTGCCAACAGGTGAGAGTTGTGAGAAGTTGGGATCGTGCCAGGCGCGGCAAAATAAGTTGTGTGAAGACGTAACTGTGACCGTGTCAGAACGTAATGAATCGCGCGTATTTCTTCACATTGTTCGTGCTCACCGGGGCGCTGCTTGTAATACGTCAAGCCCAAGGAGGCGCTTCAGGTTTCGACTACAACACTCCTGAGGACGAACTTCTTGAGGTGCTAAACACTCGCTCGAATCGTTATTTCCTTAGCATAATTTTAGTTTCCATAGCTCAAACAATTTTAATTAATCAGAGAACTCGTAAATCGAGAATCTTTTGTATGCATCTGTCTATCAATCAACCTTATCGATAATTACAGTGAAAGAAGCAGTGAACCTATTTAGAAAGCTTATGCTTTCATGGAAATAGACGTAATGATTTTATTCAGGCAATTTCGATTTAGCAGTGATTTACAGAATGGTTGATGGTCAAAATAGCTCGTACAGCTACGTATAGTCATTGTTCCAATTTTTTTTGTATTTTACATATACAAAATAATTTACTCTGTATTTTCTATTTACGAAACATTAATATACTTTACGTCAGTATTATCCTGATTTATCAGCACCAGTCCGACATTTATCCTCAAACTCATTACATCAATATTCGAACCATGTGTAGTAAATATCTTGCTTGCTGATGTTTCGCAGATAAGAAACATGATAGAATTACTTGAAGGAACTTGCTATATTTCTTTCTATAAATTAAATAGAAATTATTTACAATAACGAATACCTCGCTCAGTATATTATGTTACATTGCACAGTATGAACGATACATTGTTTCCATACAAATGTTTGCTTTTCCCTAGAACATAAACGTACGTGCTCCTTAACGTTAATTTCCCGACTTTCAATTCGAGAAAGCTTTAATCTAATACATGAAAACTAAAAATGAAAAAAAGGATATCCTATTAGCGGTAGAATGTATAATTCAGGCTTTTTATATCGAGTACGCATTTTCGTGTAGACCCGCCTCTATGTGTTCCTTTAACAGTCCGGACCATCCCTATGACGCGGTTCCAATCAGAAGTTTCCCGCAAAAGTAGCCAAACCCCATAATTCGTCTTAAATACATAACATTAATCTATTATAGTGAATACACTAGGTGTGCTGTGCAGGAACTGTATTAATATAAACTATCGCTTTTCTAAATTAGGAATATGACTTCATAATAGTGGGCGGAGGTCCAGCTGGTTGTCGTCTGTTCGAAAAGCTTACAAATGAAACGCTATGTGGCCAATCCTATCGAGTTCTTCTTATCGAAGCCGGGGGCAACCCTCCACTCTGGACAGATGTGCCACTTTTCTATAGACGGACAGGATCGCCTGGCTACGATAATGTGATGTGGTGGTTCCCTCACAAGTCAAACGGACTTCATAACCTTGGCTTGTCTAGCAGCCCCACCGTTTTTGGAGGTAGGTTTGTTTTGAGAATCTAAGGAGTTTGGGACATATCGTTTGTTATCAGCTTTCTCAGATATAACTCGTATAAACGCATTTTTTATGGATTTCAAGTTCTAGTTGAAGTTATTTTGCAAGCTTTTTAGTTTTTTTTTTCATTCTAGGATATCCGACGAGTAGTTTTAGTTGTTAAAATTTAGTATTCCTCAAATGTATGTTGTCAAGTTTTACGCCAGTCAATTGTAATACTTCCGTTAACTGATCGGAACCGAGGCAACTACATTTGTGTTCGATAATTGACTATACTCCACGACAAAGCCTGATAGACAAAACTGTTGACAGGATAATAGCACAAAAGCGAATGCAACGCAAGGTCTCTGATCATATTGAAAAGGTCGTCCCAGTTCAGACTGAATTTGTTGCTAAGAATGAAAAAAAAAAAACGTATGAAATACTGAAGCACTAAAATGTTATGCTTTATAGGGTTCGTAGATATTATGACATTATTTGAACAACAAGGTAATACAATACGAGAAAATGTTCAACCAAATGGGAGCTGGTTTCAGTCGTAAAGTACACTTGGTAAGCTTACAGATTACCAACCTGAATCGATCTACGTATTATCTGTACACTTGTGTATGGACTAAAGGACTACCTTTTGATGCATTGTACTTTATTTATTTAGGTTGATTCCTTGCAAGGCTACTTCACGCAGTAATAAAAAAAAATATTCATCGACGAAGTTTTCTTGAACGTTTGCGTTTTTTATGACCAAAGCCAGGTCTTTTTATATTGCTTGGGGTTGTTTTTGCTCTTATATTAAAATACTTATGTATTTTCTTAAATCAATTAAACGCACTAGCACATCATTTGTTATACCTTGCATCTGGTAGACAAATTTCATTAAAAGTTGTTAAGCCTTTCAAAAGCCATGCCTTCAAGCTAGGTTCAAAATCTAGTTATAGAGTTAATGTTGTTCTTGTGCGCGCTTCGTGTTGATCCTCAGTGAAATAATTCACATTGGACGTGACATGATACAGAAGAAATATAACTTTAGTCAAAATGGAAAAGTATTTTAAATAATTGACCGATCAGCGATGCCTCATCTGGTTAATTTTTGCAACAAGAGTTTTTTCATCTGAGGGAAGTCGAGAACAGCTAGATGGTTCATGCCGAAAATTGTTTTAGACAGAAAAATAGTACAGCAAGGACCTCTTTTGACTTCTTGCATCTTCAGGGAGTATAATTGACTATAATAATCTATTTTACTAATATCTTTGAAAGTACAGGATTTCTTAAACTTGCATGTACCGGATCAGTCATGCGTACTGGTCTGACATTAATCATGTAAGAACTGAGGTCCTGAGAAGACAGGCGTATCTTTACAAAATAGCCCTTAAATTACGGCTTGAAATACCAGTATACACACATGTTCGTACTATTTTCATGAGTGTCTGGTTCTTTTGACAATTTTTTTATGAGGGTCTTCCGCGTCGGCTCGTAGGCATCTTCCTCGGATACTTCAGAAGCCGTCTGGGAACCGATGGACTGTTGATTTTGGCCAACAAATCCTGACGAAGGTTTCCTTCAGCGCGTAGACATTGGACAATGGCTAGTCTTTGCTGATATTTAAAAGGCAAACCTTATGCCTTAACAATGTTGATATAGTTGTTTTCTTTTAAAAAGAAATTATTTTTTTCTATAATAGTACCAAGAATAACAAGTGAAAGCACGCCCGTGGCGACAAATAGCCCACTCAAATTTGTAGAAACACCAATCTCAACAATTCGCTATATATAGTAAGCAGAACAACAGTCTCGCAACAGTTTGAAAAAATATAACTAAATAGTGCAAAAGTCCTCTACATTTACATATTTTTCTTTACTCTCATCCTCATGACATTGGCTCTCTTGTAAATGTATCTGTCTAAGAAGACAGATACATTTAGACAGGTGTAGAATGAAAATTCTCAAATAAAGAACTTAAAATATATGGGTGTAAGAAATCTGTCGATAAGTCCCCTGCCCAGAAACAGTTTTTTTGCACCCTTGTTTACGGGCATGTAAAATCCGTGTCTTGTGCAGCTCATGTCCATATGCCAGTTTCTTACAGACGAATGTGGCTACCACAGTAAATAGCAAAAAGGAATTCATGTTTATATTAATTTAAAAAAAAAATGCGCTAATTTTACTTCAAAAACCATGAACTATTGGTTGAAACTGACTTCTTTGCTTTTATCTTATTATTCATTAAGGCTTGCTAACGATATCTTGGATGCATTATTTTACTAGAAAGTGGTTATTGATTTCTGGAATTGATAACTATTATGTACTAACTAAGCTTTGAACTTGTATTCAAAAATTGTAAAGAACCTATATACACGGGACCAGAACTACTTGGGCCTATTGTCGCTTGTACACGCTGCTATTGAGACGTTTGCGCTAAACGGATACGGTTACCCCCAGCTTTGCAAAATCTTCTTAACTTCTTATAAGAAAAAAAAACATTATTTCAATTAATGTGTCGTGTGTTCTAGACATAAAAACATTCGTAGTATTAGTAGAGACCATGCACATATCCCAGCATACATATGGCTGCTACAATCCAAAAGCACTGAAGTAAGAAATTATGTCATTACGTTTTTTTTGTCTATAATAAATGTTTTTTACGCGGAATCGTGATGTAACCTGTTTGACATATTTAGTCTGCCAAATCTGCTTCACCCCATATCTGCGTTTAAATTTGGTTGAATTGAGCCTGTCATTGTGAAACATTTGACTGTTCGTTTCGCTATGCGGCATAACTGAATGCTGTCAGAGAGTCCATACTTGAAAAATGATTCGATGATACTTCGACTTCTGACATCGACCGTACTTTATTTACTTCGAGCTTACTAAGTTCTTATAGTACCAAACAGCGAATAACTTTGAAAAACAATGGCTAGCCAGATACGAACAATGGGATTGATTATATTTAGGACGACAAAAACAACTGGATGGCCTAATGCTAACATACTATATAGAGTTCAGAATATTAACGTGAGAGAGTTGGTAGATAGTCTTGTCTTCTATCTTACCTACTGGTAGTTCATTCCACTATTTCTCACCCTGCCTTAAATATCGTTCGATCGGCCATCACCTACAAATTACCTCGCATTATGAAACTGCGTAAAACTTTATAAGTGATTATCTAGTAAAAATTGATTTAAAAGTACTTGAAAATTATCTGAGAAATCTAAAATCAATTGAAATATTTCGTTTGTACTTGTTATCATCAGCTAAAGTGCTGGGTGGTGGATCAACTTTTAATGGGGCAGCATTCCAAAGGGGTTGCGCAGCCGACTACGACCGAATCGAACCCGAGACGCAGTGCAAAGGGTGGAATTACAAAGAGGTTCTCAAGGCCTTTAAACACGATGAAAACAACCAGGACCCAGTAAGATACTCGCTTCTTCTTTACATAAATCTCCTTCTAAACGTTTGAAGTGTCTGTTCTTGTAGTGCATTTCTTTTATGTATATGTACGATAAATAATAGTACAGGTAGTGCGAACTATTTGCGGAATAAATAGCGTTTGATTGAAAATAGTAATAATAATCAATGAAAAGGACTATTTTCGCTCGTTTCGTAATTAACAAGAGGCGGCTTCTTAGCTGACCCCGCCTGTCCGATAATCAAAAGTGATAACTACTAATTGCTTTGCCACACCCAACCATTTGCAGAGCATTAGGAATAATGGGCACCATGGAAAGAAGGGCACCATCTGTGTGAATTCGCTTCTATTAGATAATGGCGAGACTGCTGGCTACCATGCCTGGAAAGACACGCTAGAACTGCAAGGCATGCAATATGCTGACCCACATGATGGCACATGTCACGGCAAGGGGTACCATTTTCAAGCAGCATTTTGTCACGGAATACGGTATTCTGCTGTCACAGCATTCGTCACACCATTTTTCCAGGCACGTCGCAACCAGATGCATATTAAACTAAATACACTTGCCACAAAGCTAGTCATAAATCAGTCTGGAATAGTTCCTCGAGTTGTAGGTGTCGAAACGGCTGACGCCACAACGGGTGAAGGCGGAAAAACGTATCGAGCTAAGAAAGAGGTTATTCTCACTGCTGGAGCTCTTAAGACCCCCCAATTGATGATGGTCTCAGGAATTGGTAAATGCTGTTTAATAGATTTTTCTTATCTCTAGAATTGGGCCAAACAACTTAGTTGAATAAAAGGAAGATGTATATAGGGCTAATATGAATTCCTACTTAGTTATATTTTGGACCAGAAATACAAAAACCAAGTTAAATTGTACTTTTGGACGAATATATGAGGCCAAAAAAACGATTAGTAGAGGACATCTTTACTTCAAACAAACTTTCTATTTAAATAAATAGGCATATATATTGAATGAAATGAATTGAAAATACCTCTACGAAACGTAAGCGGGAAACGGGGATACTTACAACTAAAAAGCTATTGTATATCATTGCGGCATGTACTTTGTTCAACATGTAAAAAATCACTTGATTTTAAATATCATCTAGAAGGGCTTTACCGTTCGAGTTACTGCACTCGGCTGCAATGCTGACACTATTATGCCCATTGTTAATTAGTAACTAACTTTAAAGTATTTTTCATTCTGTTAATGTTTTTCAGGTCCTGCAAAGCATCTACAGTCAAAGGGCATTAAAGCCATCGTAGATCTACCAGGCGTTGGCCGCAATCTGCACAATCATCCTGGCATTTCATCATTTTACGTCAAAAACGTGCCAGAGACATGGCTGCCAAATAATACCTGCGAAGACATTGAGGCGTATTTCCGAGGCCCCAATGGGTCTCTCCTTTCCTCTTCCGTAAATATGGTTGGAGTGGCGTACCGCCAATTAGATCGAGTCGATATGAACAGACCACTGGATGATGAAATTTTGAAGAACAATTTTTCTGATGTAGAATATACCCTTTCCGGGTCAAAAGGCTTTGGAGGGCCTTGGTTGGCAGTTGATCCTAAAATTAAGGAAGAGTACCTTGGTCCTCTGAAGAATGAAAACTTCTTGACCGTAAACGTGTATCAGATGCACCAGAAGTCACGCGGGTTTGTAGAACTAAATTCGACTTCAGTGGCTGATAATCCTTACGTGTACTTCAACTACTTCAGTGAAAGGTCTGACCTCGACACGCTGGCCGTCGGAGCTATGAAAATAGCAGAGATGTTACGTTCCCCTCCTTTTGCTCAACATGCTATTGAGCTGTACGAACGGCCATTCCCTAAATGCAAAGAGCACGCGTTTGGCACCCTTGAATATTTCCGCTGTCTAGTCATGTACACGACGCATGCCAATTTTCACTACGCTGGTACAACGAAAATGGGTTGCAACCGCCGAGCCGATCAAGATGTTGTCGTAGATGGTCGATGTCGCGTTTATGACGTTGAAGGATTGAGAGTAGCCGACACAAGCATTGCTCATGCGCTGCCCCAAGGTCACTCGATGGCATACGCCTATCTGACAGGCGCACGTTGCGGCGACTTTATCTCTGAAGACCATTATCGCTGGAAAGGTAATGAGCGTAGGTCTGTACCTACACCTTCAGTCACAGACTACAAAGGCTCGGCTTTTCTATCAGTGCCAAGACAAGCCCAGTGGAATTCTAATTACCGTCAGTGGTAGACGATGAAGAATATTTTTGATAGTTTCGATACCAATCTGTGATTATCACTGAGTCACAACACAAAATTAATGTATTGATTTTTGAAGGTAGTTATGTTTGTCCGTAAAGATATACATATAGTGAAATAGGTTATGCAACATTATGAATAAAAAAAGATTATGGTTAACACTGTATACACATTTCTACGTGTATATGATTTAAGATAGACAACTAACGTTAATAAAAGTTGTTATGTTTTGAAACCAATGCACAACAATTTTGTGCTGCAGATATGTTATGGTTGCAATTTTTGTTTTGTAACATGGCTCCTAGCAGTTATCTATAATCCTTGTCCTCTAAGCTAAAAACATTTTTACCTTCCTGTTTGCTTGCTGTGTTTTGCTCAAATTTTGAACAATTGTGCGGGGTACCGATAGAGAATCATGTCTTTCAGCTTAGGTATCTTTTTTTGGGAAGCTAGTTGCCAATTTATGACGAACGAGGGTAAAGACTTTTGCTAAATAAACCCATTACAACACTAAAATGAGCTAAAAAGATTTGTCCCAAACTGGTTCGGCCTTAATTTTAAATAAATGATCTTTTATTTTTATTTCTCGCATTTTCTCCTCCCGAATCTCTGTTACAACTTAAAAAACTGTCATAAAGACGTCTGCATGTATGTGTACCATATGCGCCTGTGCGTATTTGTTATGCTCTATAAAGTATGCACCATTTATAAAATGTTGCTTGAAACCACGTAGTAAAATATAATAATTGTTTGTTTTTAAAAAAAAAATTGATGTAGTACGAGTATGTACAAAATTAATGCTAACTAATATAATTATTTGCTTATTAAAGGAAATACCCCTGGGACGTCTTGGCAAAGCTTTAATAGACATCTTTTGCTCGTCTAAATATAGACACAACTGCTATGCCGATAATGGATATTATAAGTTATCTAGGTCTGTAAACCAGGTTATGATTTCGGACCATAAAAGGAGGTCGGTGGATGGCTGAAAAATTAATAGTTTGAAAAATTCACTTGGCTATATATATACATATATATATATATATATATATATATATAAAGTATAAAGCGTGGTCGAACTTAATAGGGAGTTTTCCTATTGATTTCTTACCGTTTATCTAAAGTGCTGTTACCGAATGGAAATTGTTTCTAGAATAATGTAAGCAAACTTGGAGCCATAATGAAATGCTTCCTCATTATCATTTGAATTCAAACCAAGACTATCTGAAATGGGCCTGTGAGCGATTTAGGTCCTGAATTGAAACTGGACGCTTTTTATATTGAATAAGCATGACAGTTTTAAAATATGCAAAAAATCGCCTAAATATATGGTTTTATTATTATTTCTTTTTATATACTGTCGTAAAAAGGAAGCATAGGCAAAAGTTTAGATCGATGGCCTTGGTTATATATATAATGAAGGGTTTTATGGGTCAATGAGGTTCTGCTCCTCTCTATATGATACACTCTATACACATGATTGTGTAGTTAATTACACACCTAAATTTGTTTAGTTAACGGTAATGTTATAATGTATATGGATTACAAGTACCTTAATAACATCCATAATACTGAGCTTATAGCACTACTAGCAAAGACAAATCTGGTCCCCAGGGCATTTAGCTGGAAACGACTCCTTCGCGATTTACTACTTTTATAGAAAGAAAACGTTACTACGTATATATATATATATATAAGAGTTAAACCTATGTGCGATCGTTAGTGTATTTGTTTTTCACGTAGATATCTAAAATAGTTTAAATCGTTCTAATACATCTAATATGGGGCTAAAATCTGTTGGTGGACATTCAGGTTAAATTTTAGTTTTAAATTGACCTAATATCCTTTAAAGTATTTTTCCTTTCGTATCATTTAGTATTAGGCACCACAGTAGAACACCAGACATAAACAGAGCTAATAATAATAGTCCACTGAAATAATGTAGTAGAGATTATTTAGAATGCAGGACGCATAAATATGTACAATATTTTTAAGAAACGAGTATAAATACAGGGCGAAATAAGCTGCTCATTTTATTAAATTGTAAGACGTTTTCATTGTCGCAGAATTGCGGTGTATATATATATATACAAAATATATATACACCGCTATATAGTAAAAACTTGATAACTGATATGTCAAGCACCTTTTATCCTATATAAATATTTTAACACTATCCTGTATGTATTATATGTAAGGAGCGCCCATATACAGATACGCCACTAAAAAAAGATATCAACACCGTTGAACTTAAAGTGTACATGTCATATAGCGGTACCGAGTTCTGCGCGTTAAGCTTTAATCAATGGAACCGGGCGGGCATTCCGACCGGTCCGGCACAAGACTTGGTCGGGGTCATACACAAGGCAAGAGACCTGCTACGAGAAGCGAGCAGTACAGGCAGGCCAAGAGCAGCGACGATCTGGCTTAACCACGGATAAAGAACGCTGGCTTCTGAACAACCATAAAGTAGGACAAAATTTCGTTTTTTAGCCATTCTGACCCCTCAAGGTTAGTTTAAGGATAATAACAGACTGAAGCGAGTGCACCATCTCTCAACACGTAGTAAAAGAGAGTACCAGTATTCCGTGGCCAGCTAGTTAATCAGTTGGTTAGGTGCAGGTGGCGTTAGGACAAACGTGTAAAGCCAGTAGGAAACGAAATCGAGACCAAAATAGAAGTGCTTCTGTAGCCATCTGCGACTTCAACTGAAATCTATTGAACTATTTAGTGGTGTGCAGTTCTTGCTTGGCACTCCGTATACTTAGTGGCGGTATGGAGCGGGCCCGCACCGTCATGCGGACACTGAATCCAGCGTTACGGGCGGCTTCTCTTGGCCGAAGTCCCCGCGCCTCCTGCGGACCATCTACGTTAGCAGTAGGCCTGAATCGGGACCGATTTGGATACCATCTGCCACGACAGTCAAGTGGTAGTTATCAACAGCTGGCTAGTTATCAGACCCGTGCTGCTCAAGAACCATTTCTAAATGGCAGCAGTGGAGTGTACGTTGAGGAAATGTTCCGCGCTTGGAAATCTGATCCAAACTCTGTGCATAAGGTGAGTGTTAGTAACATTTAGCATGGAATGCTTTCAAAGCTTTCGTTATTTTTCTCTCAATTCTTGTACGGTTTCTTTGCATTCAGTGCGAGCAATCTCATGAAGTGCACACTAAGTAACTCCCTACATACGCTTAATAATTGTTATTTATTTTTATATGAATACTAATAAGCACATCGCGACTTCTGTTAATCACACAAATCCATAGTCCTTCTTTTCGTGCGGTTGACGTTGGTTGGAAATAATAAGTTTTGTTTCTGGTGGTGTAGACATACATACATCAACAAATACATAGGCCAGGGGGCTTACTGTTTTCTGTGTAAGAGCTTATTTGCTCTGTTTTTGCTCTAGCCGGAAGGGCATAATGATGGTAGTGGTAGTGGTAAGCATGCCTGCAGCTGTTGACATTAGCGCCAGCAAAGTCATTGCCAGGTTAGTCAGCCAGTTGGTGGCACGGCTATAGTAATGCATAGGGTAGCCGATCAAAACAGCCGCTCTGGGCCGAACAAAATCAACAGCCTGGCAACTTTGGGGGCCGCCACGATATATGGCATAGAATGGTAAACAGCTATAGGGTCTATATATGTTGCTAGGTAACGTATGTAAGAATCGTCGACTGAAGTAGATACGAACTATAATTTTCGTGACCATGGAGCACGTAAGGAGTGCAAACTTTCAGTGAAATGGAACGTTCCTTTGGCGAGCAGAACCAGGTTATCTGTAACATTTTGTTGTAGGCCTGGTTCCTTGGCATCTTCTAATGCTACTAGTTAGGTTCGAAGGAGACGAAGTCAAAAGTGGTGAATTTGTTAGTTGCTTGGGCAGCGTAAATTGTACGAAGTCAAGTAAGTCTGGAAGAAAAGTACGAAAAATAAGACTTTTGCCAGCAAAAACTATGTAAACTGTAGTAGACGGTCATTTCAGTATTTTTATATACACCCACCTTCGCTTACCCTCTTGTAAAACTAGTTATTATCCGGCTAGCACATGAAACTGAGTATACCTGTAGTACGTAAACAGCACTTCAATGAGGGTTAACGGTGTACCCGAAGAAGTCAAGTGGCCCCTATAGCCTCGGTTATCGGTCATTCCCACCTGTATTTTCTAAACATCAGATAATTTTTCATCCTAGCGTTACAGTTAAAATAAATGATTTGATAATCTGATAATGTCGCACTCAGTGTTATGCGTCGAAACGTCTACTACTCTACGGATGCGATCAATCAAATAAGTTGAACTCGCTATTTATTAAATTTTCGACTCAATGAGTGCAGAAAATAAAATCTAGATCTAATAAAAAGAATACTGAAATTGATCTGTAGAGTATCGACAAACAGAAAAGTCGTGCAGCTCTAACGTTTCGTCAAGTTCTAGAAATTTTAGAACATAAGTCAATTTGTTTAAAAAGCAACGCAATATTTACACCAAACATTTTATTCCGCCATATTGAAGAAGAGATGCTGCATTGTCAAATGAAAAACGCTGTAGGAGGGCGACGTTCTATAACGAAATGTGTTTTATGATCTATAAACTTGACTGTGAAACGATATTTCCATGAAGATACAGAACGTTCGCGGTATATTTGATTCAAGTGCAATTTGAATAGCACTGAATTACTTTAACTCACGCGTTTTCAGATTTGTGAGAAATCGCACATGTTTTCATAACATATTAATTATTACGGAGTTATTTTTTTTCTAGTTTATTAAAGTGAAAATCTGAGAACATCGGTTGGCATTTGCAGACTGGCAGTAATATTTTGGTTCCTTCAACCATTCGCAAAGCGATTTTAAAAGCATATAAAATTTATTGACGCTTGAAATGAAGATAAATTATAGTAGAAATAGCGAATTATTTAATTATTTAACTACTATGATTGTAGCTTTGACGATATAACATTTTTGGGGTTTTCAATTTTTTCAGTTGTATCAGCGTAGATTTCCATTAGCTAACATAGTAGACCTTACACAATGATTTATTTCCATCTACGATAACCTGGCTATTCTGTTGTCTCGTTATCTCCCGTGAACATTTTGATTTGTATATTTCAAACAAGCTGCGCATAGTTATGGCTAGAAGAACGGTAAAATATTGTCGGATCATTTAGAACCGCAACGAAAAGATGAATATTTTCGCCAGTGAAGGCTTTTGTCGATGCATGCATTACAAGGATTTAAGTACGTAACTGCTACCTTTATACGCGGGATTGGTTCTCTCTTCCACGTTCTGTGTACGTATAGTAATATTTTTAATCATGCTATATCAGTCAACTCAACAATCAAATGCCTAGACACGGTAGACGATACTGTTCATCACAATATGCGTGAATATTCCAGCTTTTATGCACTATTCAGATTTCGGGTCCTTCTGTCCACGGAGTAACATAAATGATCACAATAGTTATGATTTTAGATTTTTTTTGTTTTTATAAATGACTCTAGCTCTCTAATCGATAACGTGTGGCCATGAACTGATCTGGTCTCAAAGATTGTTGTTACAGCTGTGCTTAAACTTCGAAAAGAGCCGTGTAAGAGTAGAATTCTAGTACCTAGACTGACACAGAGTGCGGAGTTAGTCCATAAGCACCCTGCAATCGTATTGCGTTCCTTAAGCTACAGTGAACGGGCGAAAAGCCTTAAACCAAGTGCGCGCAAAGGTGTTTTCCAAATCGGTCGCATTTTGAGATTTTGGGTAGAACCATTGTTGTGATGAAGTGTCTTTGAAGTGATTATCGCTACGGTTAGGTAAGGTGTCAAGGTTCTGTCATGGCCTAGAAATTCATTCGACTTGAATTCGATCAAAAATTTGTGGCATTATGTCAAAAGCGATTTAGCGCTGGGCAGGAGGCTCCACAACCTTCAACAAAATACGGTGCTTTAAGTGTGGGCCCAGGACATGGCTATGACGGAGATGATGCGAAAGTGTGATTTAGCTGAAATGTGATATTATACTGTTAGCCCCTCAACTTGCAAACATTGTAGGTTTATTAAATTCGTACATACGACATACAGATGACTTTTGAGCACAGTCTAATTTTCACAAGCACAAATTGTTGTGCGTGGTATCGTAAATCTTCATTTCGTGTCTATATAGTTTCTAAAAGCTGTTGAAAGCGGTGTTTGAAAGCGGTTGAATCATTGTTAGACAAGGATTAAACGTTTTTTCACTAGAATTAAAAAAAATTCTCTCGAACTGAAAATAGCTGTCATCATCGTAAGCTTGCCACGCTATAATAGGTATATTATCTGAAGAATGCCATTGTATTATTACGTGATGTAATACATTCGCCGACCCACTAAGGCGCATTATCGGCGTTGAGGTAAAATTTCTTTTGGGGGTTAACACCCGTTGGGTTATGTTTATCCTCATACGCCGCTCCGTATCATGCTGCAATAATATGAAGACTATGGAATCCGTTTCAGTCAAAAGGCTTCGGCTAGGTTGCAATCTAGATAAACACCTCTCCGAAACCATTCGAAATGTTTTCGAGTTAATTCCCTTTGTCCGGTGTGTTTATCGCATGCGGTGACATTAACTATCTTTTTTAAGGACACAAGGCTTGGGATTCTGATATTTGGGTTGGTTATGAATGCATTAGGAGGCTTTAACGAACAGAATGTGAAAGATGTGTCAGGTTATTTCCTGCTGAAGCTAGGAAACGTGTAAACCTATAGTGTGGTGCACACAAATTTAATAAAACCCTGTTAATAAAAATTAAAAGAACCGTTTTTCTATAAATGATATGTCTATATGTATATGATTATTTATTAGAATTTTTGAATATTATTTTTATGGAAATCGGAAATCCGTGATATTCAGATTCAATAGATATTGACTTTTTCTTTCAGAGCCATATTTAACAAATATATAATCATTCGGTGCATCTAGTGGGCTCGTTCTACGAATTATTATTATTACGGTGTTTGTTTTTTGGAAAATAACTACACCACTAACATATGCCACTGGTGTAAAAAGGTTGTCATTGTGCTTCAAATGCATCTAATTGTTACTTTTATTCTATACAAGGTTTTATACAAATTTTTCAGAATATGATATAGGTTGTCAAAAGCAATATATTTCTCATGAAACCATAAGGCTTTATGTTAGAAAAGTAGCAATTTTTTTAGTTTTCCAATAATTGCAATAGACGTTTGAAATATCATTATACTGGGCGCTTGGTGTTACTGAAAAAGAGTCAACAGTGAGGTATATAGTATTTCAAAGGATCTATGCAGCCCTAATAGAGTGTAAAGCGCCAGGGACACGTTTGTGTGGCTTAAGTTTACATCATCAACCTCAAGGCACAGTTTCATTACTATTTTAGAATTAACTTATGAATATCTGCATACTGCGCAGTTACGGCTGAACTTTCGTCAATATATTCTAAATGGTCCTTATAATGATATAGCCTTTAGAGAACCCATTAGTGAAGAAAACCATTAGTTCCATGCAAAGACTGAAACTATACGTGTATATATGTGTACAGAATATATATACAATCATGATGGCTTGACAGTTGTCATATTTTACTTGATTACTATTTGACGAGATGAAAGCACAGAAGTTCTCTGCATTTTAAGAAAATAATGCCTCAGCGTTCAATGCTTCTATTGCACAGAATATTTTTGACAAAAAAAAAACTCTGCTGCGAGTTTTAAGGCGCCCCATATTAATGTACACTCGCTTTTCTCTAATCTTTACTGAGTAATTGGTCCTTTTGTTAATATTTTCTCTTCGTCATTATCTATTTAGTCATGGGACGTTTTCTTCCGAGCAGCTGCTGCAGGACATGGTCCTGGCCAAGCTTATACAACACCTCCGACACTGGTATCGATGGGCATTGCCGCTGCACCTCAGCAGGTACCTGTCGGTCCCTCGTCTTCGATCGGAGTCGTTCCAGCAGCTCCTCGCGATATCGAGGACCATCTCTCTGTGCAGGCTATCATTCGCTCATACCAGGTATTTGTGAGTCAAAACTCGTTAGTTTTGCCTAGAGGCTCATATGCGTGTTTAAATGGAAATAAAAAAAACTGTCGTCTTTCTGGTCAATACACCGATTTACAAAGTTTAACAAACAATTAATTTAGTATTGTGGCGTGTTCTTAATCAAATTGTGGCCCTTAATCCTCCAGCGTCATCGGTTTTCAGATGTGTACTGAATCTCAATTTAAAACATACGAATTTTTAAAGAAATTTTATTATAGGAATAGCGTCCATTTATGACTGCTGTGACCGCTTCACAGCAACGCATGGTCGAAGTGTATTTTCTGAATAACAAATATCTTTTTAGGTAACCACATATGTAAATAAAATACTCACTTTTACCAAAAATTCTTTAGGGTGACATGCGCGAAATGTTTTTTGCATCTTCCGCGCGTTTTCATTTCTGGGCCATTTAATGATTAGTGCAGTTAGTATCAGTTAATCATGACTGTAATATTATTTGTGTTGTTGATTACTGTGTTAATTTAGGTACGAGGTCACTTTGCTGCTAATCTCGACCCACTGGGCATCCTGCCGGTACCACCCATAGGATCAAACGGCCTTAAAGAACCAGAGAGCGTTCTTCGTGGTTATAAGCTAGGTAGGCGTTAGGCCCACTAATCGAGGGCCACACAGAGGACGAGTTGATGTTGTTACTAACGCAGTGTGTGTTTTGCCGTTGTTTTGCTTAATGTCTCTTTTACACGCGGCTTCTTCGTGTTGCCTTCGATTTGGGGCTAACTTCATTAAATCTACCAACTACCTGCATCGCATCGCACTTCGCCGCCTACACCAACCTCATCCACTATCATTTAATCCGAACTAATCATCATTGATTTTATTATTACACCGCTCAACAAATACTTTTAAATACCTCCTGCAATTAACATCCGCCTGTACTCAAAATGCTCGACTCGTTTGACCCTTACTAACAAACCCGGAAATACTGACTATCTTTATCTAATTGCTAAATTCATTGCATCACCGGACTTTGTGTGGACTCATAATGTGAACGAGGGATGTTCGAACGGGTGCAAAACTTGATCCAATGAACAAACAAATACTAAAACTAACGCTTTCGCCATCTCCGTGCCCGTATATATAAAAATAATCGTCACTATTTTTGTTATATTGCTTTTTATGTATTGGGAATGGGGATCGGGACCGGTTTGCATCCAATGCTGAGACATGCTCATTTTTTATATTTACGGCTGTTCTGATTTTCACCTAAATTTGAAAATTGCGCTTTCTGCTATGTTACCACTACGTAACACTATTCTCGGGCCATGCTTGCTTGAGATGATTAGATCAGGGGTCACTTCTATGCAAACCTCGACCCGCTTGGTATCAGCAGATTGGAACGTACCTCTGGAGATGTGGGACGCTACAAGGCCAACTTCGGTACGTGGTTTCAAGCCGGTCTAATGTTCACACCAGAAAATGCTCAGCTGATTGTTTTTCAATTGCTTGTGGGGGTTTCTTCTGTACTGATATCTATATTCCTCTAGATACCAGTGTCTTAATTTATACATGCTTGCACTGTTCAATCGTCAGTTTTTTTCTTAGAATTGAGCAATCCCAACAATTATTTCCTTGTTGAATCGAGCATTTTTACTCTTAAATTCAAGAACATTTTGTTTGTCAGTCTTGCACAAGATCGAGGCTTTGCTTAAACCGGGCAATGGCGGCGCATCTCCTTAATGAAAGCGTATAAAAACGAAACTAATATCACAGACGAGGAGAATGACATCTGGCAAGATTCCGAAAATCTTCTCGATTCCTCTCGATTCGAAAAATCGTAATTCCGAAAATTTCGAAGTCCAGAAGTTTCGATAAAGATAAAAACCGCCCAGATTTTTAGTAATAAACATGTTAGCTGCTCTATTTTCTTTAGACTCGCTTGGCTTCTAGAGTATCCATTACACTGATTCTTGTGCTCACAGCATGAACGAAATTTAAATAAATCTTAGTTTCTCCTGTGGTGTCGTCCAAAAGTCACCGATTGTATTATTAGCTGCCAAACATAGTTAGTTACCATTAGTAACTAAACAGCTAAATTACTGAGTAATAAGGAAGAGAGCTTTTTCCTTACATTTATTTTTCTTAATATCTTTTGTTTTTCTAAAATTGTTTCCTTAGTGGCTGCGTTTGTTTGAAAATTTGTCATTGATTAAACATTATTTGGTGTAGAAAAGGTACCTGTAGTATACGATAGTTTTCGGATCCAGTACTTATATACTTTACTTTCGGTGTTACAATATTTCAGACGATAAAGACATGGACCGCATGTTTAAGTTACCTTCTACAACGTACATTGGCGGAAGTGAAGGGGTACTACCGCTTCGTGAAATTTTGCGTCGGCTGGAAAATGTCTATTGCGGATCTATCGGTGTCGAGTATATGTTTATTAACGATCTGGATCAGTGTAATTGGATCCGTGAGAAGTTTGAAACTCCTGGTTAGTACGGTTAGAACTTGGTCGTATGTATTGCACGGATAGACCATAAAAGAAACAGTTTGAGGCAAACCAGCCTACATGGCATTTCCTGTAAGGTTAATCATTAAAGTCTATACAGATACTTCAGATCCACTCCAGAAGCCCTAGAGAGTCAAGGTTATTTGATATTAAAAAGGCATTACAACAAATAGCAATTAAATGAGCCTAGATTGCTTTTAGTGTAATGTAATCGGATTATTACATGCGGCTTTATTTGGAAGCGGAACGCGTTAGCGGTGGACGTGACGTGCCTCTTCGAGCAACAAATTAATACGAATAATTTAGTTGAGGTACAATAAAAGCCGGTATGATGAATCGGTTTGCCGCTTCTTAGCTAAAACTTCGTCCGTTTGGCGCATATTTTAAATGTGAGTTTCTTTTCCATAATCACTGATATTTTTCATTCTTCTGGGAATGCGGGCCCATATGTTTGTTATTGTCTACAGTATAATGAGCCTATAACCGTGGGTGTCGTTTCCAGGTGTGATGAACCTGAACGCTGACAAAAAGAAACTTCTAATGAAACGTCTGCTGCGGTCGACGAAGTTTGAAGAGTTTCTTGCTAAGAAGTGGGTGTCTGAAAAGCGTTTCGGTCTTGAAGGCTGCGAGGTACTGATTCCGGCTATGAAAACCGTTATTGACCGTTCCTCGGAACTCGGAGTCGATTCTATCGTTATGGGAATGCCGCATCGTGGCCGCCTTAATGTTCTGGCCAATGTATGCCGTAAACCGCTCGAAATTATTTTCACACAGTTCTCATCTCTCACACCAGCCGACGAGGGTTCCGGAGACGTCAAGTATCACTTGGGCATGAGTCACGAGCGACTCAATCGTCAATCGAACCGCAATATGAAAATGTCGGTTGTAGCCAATCCATCACACTTGGAAGCGGTTGATCCAGTTGTGTTGGGCAAGACTCGCGCTGAACAGTTTTATCGAGGTGACACGCAGGGCAAAAAGGTAATGTCCATGGTACTCCATGGAGACGCAGCTTTTTCGGGTCAGGGTATCGTATACGAGACGATGCACATGTCGGAACTTCCTGATTACCGTACCCATGGTACCATCCATATTGTTGTCAACAACCAAATCGGATTTACGACCGACCCCCGTTCGTCCCGCTCTTCGCCGTACTGTACAGACGTTGCCCGCGTTGTGAATGCACCCGTGTTTCATGTTAACGCTGATGATCCCGAAGCTGTGATGCATGTGTGCAATGTGGCTGCTGAATGGCGTGCGAAATTCGAAAAGGACTGTGTCATTGATCTTGTGTGTTATAGACGTAATGGCCATAACGAAGTGGACGAACCAATGTTTACCCAACCGCTCATGTATCAAAAGATTCGCAAACATAAGGGTACGCTCGACTTGTACACTAAGAAGCTCGTTGACGAAGGCGTCGTTACGGAAAGCGTCCTTGAGGAAGAAAAGCATAGATATGAGGCCATACTTCAGGAGGTGAGGGCAAACATAAAAACGGATTTTCATCTATAACATTGCTTTGTATTTCGGACGGACTTAGCTGTTTAGTATATTTTACATAATGCAAGTGTATAATATTATTGGAAACGAAGCAAGGGGTTTAAAAACTAGACTTTTCATTTTGGTGTCAATAGGCCTATACGAATGCTCAAAAAGAAACACAAACGCGCAACCGTGACTGGCTAGATTCACCTTGGAGCGGCTTTTTCGGCGATCGTTCACCTCTTGTTTGCGATCCAAGCGGTGTCTCCGAAGCTGTTCTCAAGCACATTGGATCCGTGTTTTCTTCACCTCCACCAGGTAGCGCATTGTATACTCAAATAGACACATTACTTATTTGCCCTGTTCAGCTGCTTCATAATGATCACTATCTGCTTTTTACAAACTTAAACACGAGTTGTGGAGCCATTATTTAAACTGGATTGTTCGATATTTGATTTGGTGTTTAATGTTGGATTCAATGTTAGGTATTCGTTAACAATGTTAATCGAGATCAAATAATTATTGTAACCTCCCATATTGCAGGCAATTTTGCTATTCACCCTGGCATCAAGCGTATTCTGAAAGCGCGTTTGGACATGGTAGAACAACGAACGGTCGACTGGGCTTTAGGCGAAGCCCTGGCGTTTGGCTCACTTCTTAAACAAGGCATTCACGTCCGTCTTTCTGGTCAAGATGTGGAACGAGGAACCTTCTCACACCGTCACCACGTGCTCCACCATCAAACACAGGACAAGACTACATACAGGTATGCAGCAGCAGAAGTGACAGGTGTTGTGTACATACTGCATAGTGTTATGAATAAACTTGCCTAATTCATGCATGGGCGTACCTGAACATTATTTTCAGGCCACTATGCCACCTGTGGCCGGACCAAGCTCCATACACTGTGTGCAACTCGTCTCTGTCTGAATATGGCATCCTCGGCTTCGAATTGGGCTTCTCCATGACGAACCCGAACGCCCTTGTCATGTGGGAGGCACAATTTGGCGATTTTATGAACACAGCTCAATGCATTATTGATCAGTTCGTGTCATCCGGCCAGGCCAAGTGGGTACGTCAATCGGGGCTTGTCATGATGTTGCCCCACGGCATGGAAGGAATGGGACCAGAGCATTCTTCAGCCCGTCCTGAACGTTTCCTTCAGCTCTGCTCCGAAGAACCTGATCACTTCCCCGACGACGCTGCTAATGCCGAGTTCTTCATGAAGCAACTCTATGATTGTAACATGATTGTTGTAAATTGTACAACACCGGCAAACTATTTTCATGTATTGCGGCGACAAATCATGCTGCCTTTTCGTAAGCCACTAATTGTCTTTACTCCGAAGAGCCTTTTACGTCATCCCGAGGCTAAGAGCAGTTTTGACGATATGATCGAAGGGACAGAATTCAAGCGAGTTATTCCGGACCAGGGATTAGCTGAGAACAACACTTCGTCTGTGAAAAAGTTACTATTTTGCACGGGTAAGGTATACTACGATTTGAAAAAAGCGCGTGCCGATGCCGACAAAGTTTCTGATGTAGCTCTAGTACGTGTAGAACAATTGTGTCCGTTCCCTTTTGATCTTATCAAGGCCGAGATCGAAAAGTACCCCAACGCTCACATTCAGTGGGTGCAGGAAGAACATAAGAACCAGGTTGGTGTGTTTATTATGTACATGATTATGTAAATCTTAACAATGTAAGGAAAATCATGGTAGAAAAAAAAATATTGAATGAATTGTTATGTTTAGCAGAATCTGTCAGAATCTTTAGGTCTGTAGCAGAAATCTTTAGGTCGATGTTAATGGACTTTTTTTCAATAGGAGGTAGTGGGAACGAAATTTGCTCAAATTGTGTTAAACATATTTAATAGAAGCTAAACGTTGTACGATAGCAAAGCTTCGGCGAACTAATTCGCTTCATCCAGTCAAAATTCCTGGTCAGTACATGTGATTACAATCATTTTTTTTTTAACTTCCAGGGATACTGGGCCTTTGTTCAGCCGCGTATTAACATCTGCACGGGCTACCGACGACCTGCCTATTATGTAGGCCGTGGTGTTTCGCCCTCAACAGCTACTGGCAGCAAATACATCCATAAAAAAGAATTCGAAACTTTCATGGAGGATGCTATGGATTACTAGAGATCTATTAAAAATATGAACACATCTGTGGCACATCTAGCTCGCCTGGTCGAATCATATTTAACAAGCAATGATGTGGAAAAGAGCTGTCTTTTTTTTAGATACACTAGAACGGGGTTCCACCATACCAGCTGTACGGTTGGAATTGAGCTCCCATCTACAAGAGACTCCTGCAACGTCAAATCTTAAAAAGTATCCAAAAACAAGAGTGATTTCTTTGAACGACACGGACATTTTGATGTTGTAAAGCGGGTTTAGGCAAAAAAATTTTGTTAGAGATTTCGTAACTTCAGTAATATGGCTTGTTATTATTCTCATTGCAAATTCATATTCTATTTCTTTAGACTTAAGTGTAGATAAATGTAAGATTTACTGTTGATTCTATTCCTGGTAGCTTTAGCAGCATTTGATCAAGTTGTAGCTGCTGTTGAAGACATTAATGATTTATTAATGATAATTGTAGTAATAATAGCGAATTCTAATAAGGGTAAGACATATTAAAACAATTATATATATAAGCAATGAATGGCCATGCGGACAAGTAGATCCAATTAATGTTAAAAAAAGCAAACAAGTGGAGGGGGTAATGGCGCTAAATACTTTAGACAGTACAAGAATGACAAGCGTTAGTGAGATGGCACAAACGAACTGCCCCGGTGTAACATACGCTTCCTATTTTTTTCCGATCAATAATTCATTACTGAAGGAACTTTGATTAACTGAGTATTCCACGACCTGGATTTACTGCTTCTAGTAATTATAGTTTCACGGACCCTAATGTGAAATTTCTAGAACGGAAGCTTATGGAAGTAGGACCTATTGGTCTTCATTATATTATGTTTAGGAAGCAGAATATTCTTTAAGGCATCGTATTGACTAAAAATTATCGCGTCGCTTATGTGTGAGATGTTACTCTTTACAATGTAACCCCACCGTGATTTTTGCGGACATGAGTAACAGCTAGCCGAACCGTTTAGCCTAATTCTGAGGCTTAAAGCATTACTCCTGCGAGTGATGAGAAACTACTGAACCAGCAAAACCGAGAAGGACCATTTATTATTTAATATATCTCTGCAAATATGTACTTACTCCCATTTACGGTGACACTGGCTCAGTCCACCAATTACGACTTACCGGAGATGTACATTAAACTTGTTGACTGAATTAATAAATTAATTGAAAAAGCTCGGAAATAAAGAGCAGCGAAGGCTATTGCACTTCAGTAAATATTGTATTTGTTTTTTGCCTGTGCAAGACACCACATGTATTTGTTTTACCTGCGCAAGACACTACATGTGTTTACTATTATTATTGTAATTTGTTTAGTATACGTGTTATATAAGTTATTTACATTTTCTAGGTAAAGCCTGTCCATATCTGTGCATAGGGAGTTATTGGGGTCGATGAATTCGCAGCTCGCCAACAACAGCTACGCAAAATAGACGACGATGTTCGACGTTGATTAGCTCGTGGGAGACATGTGGATGCATGCGATGCGGGTGCACTAGAAGCAGGCCCCTCGCACATCACGATAGCTTTACCGTTGGCCCCCAGCCGATCCGCCGCAGCAAAATAATTCAGCGCTAGCCAAACGGACTTTACTGCTGTAAACTGTTAGGAGTGGCCACTACATCAGCTTTTTCGGTAGAACTTTCGGACCCAACGTGAGAGGCGACTTTCGAAGCAATTTGAGCACGGGTGAATAAGCTGAAAGATTCTAAAAAAAAGGTGATTCACAGCCAGTCTGAGTAATAAATCCATAAAAGACGCCAGAAAAAGGTTTTCATGCATTCATTCAAGGCCTTCGAAATCTTATAGGACAACAAATATTTATCACTGGGACTGCTCCAGCTAATTTTGAGGATCCTGCAGAACCCTTCGAGAGTTTTCTCGGACCTTACGTAAGAGTATCTCAAAATCCATGAGTGGTGGCGGATACGGCGCAGCGAAAAGGCCCGGCGATCGTTCAGCAGGTGGCGGGGTCATTTAAAAATGGGTGCGAATTACATAAAAGGGATCGCTAATGACTCACTCCTGTTTGAGGTCACTTTCCTGTAGGAAGGTGATCACAGTAATCGATTCTGGGGCGGTTCTCTTTATAATTGATAGATAAGCCGGATATCCTATGGCATTTGGTCTGTATACCTGTTTGATTTGAAGCCCAGCGCACCCCACTAACGGCTCTGCACGCGGTCAACGACGGCTGGGAGAAGCCATTCATAAACAACCTCGTAAGAAATTTAATCCTTATCAAAGGGCTCTTTATACCCTCTCACGCACGATGCTACTGCTGAATGTGGTTTTGCAGTGCTTTTTTAATAAGCAGCAGGTAAGTGTTGCTCGCGCAATTAGATTATCCCATCAGAGTAAGAGATTGCATCACTTTAGGAGTTAAGCCAGATACTAAAACACCAATGAACCAATACAGCTATTTCTTCTGGCAACCAAATACGCCTTCGGTTTGCAACCAAATACGGTTCTTCGCACATGATTCCGACGGGGCATTTACCTCCGATCACTCCCAGTGATGGGGAGTTGCACTTGCAGCGAAGCAAGTCAGAGGATAAGATTCAAGCTATGCTGTGCAACGGCATTATTTAGCCGTCATACAATTCGTGGTATTTCCCAGTAGTTTCAGTGAAAAATAAACACGGAACGGTACGTTTCTGAGTCGGCAACTGCACATTAAACGTGTATTGGCTTCTATACGTCGACGACGTTGTCACGTCCGCTACTTGAATACCCTGGATCTGATGAGCGTGTACTGGCATATCAACATGTACCCTGCCAAGAGAGAGACGGCTTTCTCAATGCTAGAAAGAGGTTCGGCCAGTGCAAGCGTACGTCGTTCGGTCTCGCCAACGTATCCGCGATGATTCAGGGACTGATAGACAAAATCGTCAGAGCGTTAAACTACTAGATAGCTTTTCCAGCTTGATGTTTTTGCTTACTCATCTGATTTCAACAACCTTATGACCCACCGGCAGAAAATACTGGCGGCTACGAACTCCGCCGGCCTACATTTGAAGACAGGCATATGCCTTTTTTGTGGAAATTTTCACCCAAGAAAGTATGGGTACTGAAAATTTTGTCTATTCTCGTATCTGCCAGGAAGTAGGAGCTTCCGTTGTTGTAGTCCTAAGATCAGAAAGGAGCCTTGTACAGTTTTCGGCAGGATCTAGCAATCGTGCAGCGGGGCAGGGTTAGGGCGATGCTGGTATACCTAAAGGCCGGTTTATGTATATCACTTACACCACCGTTCGAGTTGTGCTGAGGCTAGATGTCATTTATAGAGCCCAAAGCGGCGTGATGCGCATTGCACTGTGTTGACCTCGGGACTTCTTGTCAAAAAAATTGAGGTGCATATTGTGGGCTGGCATTGCCAGACGGTAATAAGTTTCCAAGTCTTCGTATTCTACTAGCAGCAGTTTTGTTCAGCTGGTACCTGTCGAGGACGCTGTCACATGCCGTGATTAGGGCTTAGTAAGCCGCGCAGTGCTCTTTTGAGGACTTCGGCGCGATGACCGTCAACGCAACCTACTTTACAGGGCGCGCGGTCGCGGCTTGCTGCCAGCAAAACTACAAACACACAGGTGCGATAGAGTGATGGAGCGTGGATTCAAACGGTCACACAAGGAAAAGCTGAAGGCCCTGGTGGCCTGAAAACGCAACTTGCTCCTTAAGCTGTTGCTGCGGCTCGCCTTTTCATTTAGCCCATCCACAAACGAGAACCTTTGATACCGCTTTTCGGTCACCAAGTTGTACTGCTTGGAGGGCCTTCCGGCTATGGGAATGCTGGAAATCTGGATGCCGGGGAAGTGCTCTGAAATCAACAGAAGCTCACGAAAGCCGCCATTAAGTTGTGAAGGAATTAGCTAGGTGAGCAGCTGGCTGAACGTGAATCCTCGTGGCTTAATTGCTTGTAAAAGTTCAATCAGGTGTGTGACTTGTGAAGTACATACGGCTACTAGCTTAACGGCGTTAGATCGAGCAGACGGGTATACTTATGTATCTAGTCGTAATTATGTATATAAATATACATAATTTTATATATTGACGTAACTCATGAAGCTTAATAATTCTTAGTGGAAGCTGCGACGACTAGAAGGCAAAACTGGACATCAACAACCAACAGCAAAAAGCGCAGGGGTGAGGCGAACCGATTTACTGCAACTAAGTGGTGAGAAAGAGAGCATCGCAACTAGTTAAAAAATCAATGACATGAAAAAACAAGCACTTGCGACCGAAGTACCAGTTCTTGACAGACGAGACGAGCTAACACGAGGTGCTCAGGCTTGTAAAAGGAAACATCGGTTGTACCGTTCTCTTGCGCTGAATGTTTCGTTTGTTAAAAAAGTGCTTTTGACCTTCGCCTCTTTCACAAAAAATTCTTTAGAGGTTGCAGTACTTTGAAGAGAACAATTTGTTTGACTTGAATATTAGTGGAGTGAGGAAATCAACCCAGCGATGGGCATATATCAGGACACGCTGTGTGAGACATCACGTAGGGATTGCTAAGAAAAGCTAGTCGACTTAGTAACAACATCAAGACTCTGCACGACTCTGGATGCGATCAGGGGTGAGAAGTTTTGTTTTTTTTGTTGTTGAACAGTTTCTCAAAAGAGTTAACAAAGACCAGGAAGGCCATCTGTACACTATGGTCCTTAGGAAAATGAAAACTAAAAGGTTGCGCTCAAAACAGAGAAAAAGAAACGAAAACTATTCCCTAGTCACTAAAAAAGATAGATTTGTCTAAACCCTCTTAAAAATTCTTCCGTTAATGGACTTCGAGAGAGGGAGCTTTCTTCGAAGCCAAAATCGAGCGAAGCAATGATTTCGAGCGGACACGGCTTCTACAAATTTTATTTTCCGGAAATTATAGCTAAAGAAATGTAATCTATCATAGAAAAATGAGGTTTTGCTAAGGAGTTCGGTTATGACTCTTGCACAGTATGGTTTCCAGAAGCACCGCTCCGTTCAAACAAATTTTAAGTCGTATTGTTGCGATCTGAAACGTGTTCGTGGTTATTCTACTACTAGACGCTAAAAGGCTTTCAATAGCCTGATATGGGGCACCACCTGG